TCTGGGGAAAATTTATGGGATGGATAGTGTAAGGTACCTTGAAAAAGCCTTTAGTTAATTCCTTGCAAAAACTATAGCTGCCTGTGTAATCAGACTCTTTCCACCTTTGAGTGTGGCTATGTGCATGTCTAGGCAAGTTGATGAAGAAAGGGGTAATCAAATCAACATGGCAACTGGAGGAGGAGTTACACTGTAAAATCTCAGGAAAGATCCATTGTGCATGAAGACATTTCAAAGCTGCGAGAGGGGTTTTCATGCTACAATAGGAAATTAATAAGGAAAGTAGATTATTTGATCAAGTCAATGAAACAGCTTATGAAAATAGAAGCAGTGTTATTGACAGGTGAATAAACTCACTGGTCCTTTGGGAGTTTCCATTTTCAACAGTGAGGCACAAAATCTAAAGAGCATCTAGTGCTGTGGAGAACAGAGTCCTAGGACCGAGTTTTTGTTTACTAGCCTCATATTTATAGCTAATCCTTCCAAACTGTGGTGAAAGCAGCATAACTATGTTTTCCACACTAGCATAAACTGCAGACTGGGTGCACTATTCCAACTGCAAACTCAGGCCAGAGAGAATATACACAAGTGAAGGACTCCTAGTTGATTTAGAGCAGCTCATGAGCCTCCCCATCTACACAGCCAGTTTATTCACTGGATAGAATGTGCACAGAACCTGGTAAAAATACCTCTTTGCCTGAGTTGCTCCTGAGTCAAAATCAAGTGCAGACAGACAGACTGGAACAAGCTCTGTGGTCCCCAAGTCAGCTGAGCTGTAGGCAGTTCATCTGCATAGCCTTTTGATCTACTCTAGTGCACTCCAGTGTGCCATCCCAGGCACCAGAGCGTTCACTTAGCTGTGGAGGACATGGGGGTGGGGAACATGTAAGCAGGCTGCAAAGGGGAATTGTGCAGTCTCATGGATTGTTTGTGCACAATGTTTAAAGTGGAATTGCAGCTGTTGCCTTCTCTTGCAAAACCTCCACCTGTGCTCTCTAGAGCTGGGCTCTTCTGCTCACTGTGAGCAAAGTGGCAGTGGCTGCAGAATGTAGTGACTGGGCACACACAGTCCAAGAACCTGCAGACTTGAGAGAGTGAAGATCCGGCTGCACACTAATTACATATCTCCCAGTCTTTGTGACAATGGTATTACATGAGAATCAGACATACATTCTTTTGGAATGTTAAAAGTGAGTTTCAGTGGGAAATCTTTTAAGCTTTGGAATTTTTGTATTGTATTGTTTTGTTTGCGTTTGACACTGTTGGTTGCTTTTAAAAGAATGATGTGTTTATTCAGTGTTTATTTTGCTTATTTTTTTCTAGATTTTAAAAATATTTTGAATTTTTAAAATTTATTTTATGGATAAAATGTAAGACAAAATTTCATAACAAAATAATAAGATAATGACAATAGTTAATACACTAAATTTGGTTATCTTTGAAGTAGTTGTGAGCATACAACATATGGGTGAGAAATTTCTCCAAGGACTAACTTTGAAGAATAAATAACATCTGAAAGGTTCAGTAGATATTGTCAACAGGAAAGAAACTGCTGAAAAGGAAAGAACAACTGGGATGAAGGAAAGGAGAAAAGAAAG